CCCCCACACACACACAGAGTTGGGCAGGCGGCTCATTCTGGTGGTCATGTCATGCTCACCCTCCCATGACAGCGGTGACGATGCAGTTGCCAATCATGAGCAGCGAGCCCATGACGATGGTCAGGATCAGCACCTCGTTGAGCATCGAGTCGTCCAGCGGGTTGAACCCCAGCATGCGAAAGTAAAACAGCGCAAAGAAGTACTGGAACATCGTGATGATCAAACTCTGTGTGGCCACACAGCACACACACACAGCACACAACCACACACACAGGAATGGAAAGGACACGAGCACAGCACACAAAGAGCGACACCTTCTCACTCACATACGCAACCACATTACCTGCATGACGTTGTATCTGACGAAGTAGGGGAACTTGATTTTGCTGTTCTTGCGGATGACCACGAAGTACGCGCCCATGAAAAGGAAGAAGGGCAGCAGGGGGATGGCCGTGTAGTAAAAGGCCGCCCGGCCCACCACACCCATAATCGACTCCAGGCCAGGAAACCGAAACATCAGCGGCTGGATGAAGGCCTGGATGGAAACCAACACACACAAGGACAAGGAAGGACACACAACACTCACCCAGACGTCAGTCACGATGTGCAGCCGGCCGGTAGGATCTTTCTGTGTGACCTGCAGTGTGTCCATGAGAGGCATCGCATAAGTCCCGGCAGCCAGCAGCCGGTGCAGGATGGTGATCTTCTCCTCGCCCTTCTTATCCCCCCCAGAAGCCAGACCCAGAGCCATCAGCCTCGACAAAGGACCCCTCCTCTCGCCGTCACCAGCAGCCCCAGCAACCCCAACAGGCACCCCCGCCGCCCTATACATCCTCTGCAGCGGACTCATCTGCATCTGCCGCACGTGTGGCGGCGGCCTCACAGCTCCGAATAGCCTCCCTGGCGCCGGCATGAACGCCTCGGCTGCCCTGGACAAGCCATCGATGAGACCGGACGGCTCGGCGTCAGATCTGTGGGCGTGCGGCGGATCTCTCCATTGCTTGGACCGATGGACGTGCAGCGTGTGTGAGGGGGTGACGCCTTGCGAGGAGATGAGGAGGAGGCAGCACAGCACAATGTGGGAGGGAGATGCAGCTTGCACTGATAAGGACAGCAGAGATCTCGAAACAGCGGCGTCCGCCATCTTGAACATCGCTTGTTTGTCGTTCCAAAAGCCTCTTGAGCCAGGGAGGAGAATCCGACCCTACTTCTGCGAGCTCAGCCGTTGGCAAAGGGACGTAAGGTATCCTCTGAGAGGGCGTCCAAGCGTACCGTGCTGCAGCGATGCCGAGGCGTGCGTGGCCTTCCAACCTCAAAACATCCTCGTCGATGGCGGCGAGATAGCTAGAGAGAGCGCTGCCAAGGACTGCGGGGGTCCTTCTCCTGCTCTTGTGCGCTTTCCAAGGCCTCCCACGACACGGCGGGCTGGCGCGCGTATTTTCGGGTTTCGTCGTCGCAGATTTTCTCAATGCGATTACACCTAGTGCGGTGGGAGACGGTGTTGGCTCTGGCTGCGTGGCTGGCGGTTGTTAGTGCTGCTCCTGATGCGTCTGTCAAAGTCCTCTACACCAGGGGCGCTGCGCCAGGTACACAGACTCACACACGGGAAAGATGCAGATGCAGATCATCGCCCATCTCATCTGATGCCCTCTCTCCTCTCCCTTTGCAGGCGGTCAAGTTCTCGTGACGTGGAATCCCTTTGCCCTTTTCCCCAACGACTTCGTGTCCGTCCGGCTGATCAGCGCCTCCAACATCGACAGCTTCACCTCCTCCCGCGACGGCATCGCATCATCGGCCATCTCGTCCGAGAAGCTAACGCGCAATGACGGGCAGTTCGAGCTGAAGCTGCCCTACTCGGTCAGGGAGGGCTCTTACGTCGTGGCCGTCTCCTCGCCCTCGCGCCACGGCGCCTACGGCGCCAGCAGGAAGCCCAGCGTGTCGGCGGCTTTCGAAGTGCACAGCTCGGGGTTCAGCCACACGCCGCTCACCGAGGCGCCTTACGTGCCCTTCAGGCCGGGGGCTGACTACGAGGAGCGGAGGGAGCGGAGAGAGCGGGAGAGGGAGAAGGAGAGTGAGGAGGGCAAGAAGGAGACGACCGCGCGGCCGACGATGCCCGAGGGGTCGACCATTATCTTGACCGAGCCGACGAGTCAGCTCTACGTGTCGGCTGAGAGCGTGCCTGTCCGGTGGAGCACTCTGCCATGTGCGTGAGGCGGGCAAGCCATGGCACCCGATGGATGGATGGATGGCTGGATGTGTGTGTGTGTGCGTTTGTGTGTGCGCAGCGTACAAGGGTCCGATCGAGCTGGAGGTGTGGAAGGCGCGTGATCCTCGGCGGCCGGGCAACGGCTCCGACAGGGTGGCCTTCTACCACGTGGCCAACACGGGCGCCATGGACCTCAACATGGCCAACACCGCCTGTGAAGGTCCGTCCGTTTCTTCACCACCTGCTCACCCCACCCTCTCTCCATCATCTGTGTCCCTCTTCTCTCTCTGCCTCAGGTTATTACTACCTGGTTATCCGGCAGGGGGCGCATCCGCGGGACGAGGCCAAGTCCCGCAGCTTCCAGCTCGACACACGTGGCCGGTGGTCGAACGCCGACAGAGACCCCTCATCATCTTGTCAGATCGAGCCACGGCTCAAGCAGAAGCGGGCGCAGGGTGCCGACGGCGAGGACGGCGGATACGAGGAGGACGATTCGGCGTCGAAGTGGACCGACTGGTTCCAGTTCGAGTGGCTCAAGGAGTGGTGGGGGAAGCTCTCGAGGTGGCAGCCGTCGCCCACCGAGGTGGTGTACATTGTGACGGGTGCGGTGGTGGCCGTGGCGCTCGTGACATTCCTCGTCATGTGCTGCTGCTCGTGCTGCCGCAGCAAACGCTTCACCGCATACGCGGAAAACTGCCACCCAAACCAGGTAGGTACAGGCACTGAGTCAGGGTGTGTTACGAACTTTCCTCACTTGTCTGTCTGTGCGTGCAGAGGAGGTCTCGTCGGCGGCGGCGGTCATCGACCGGCCGTTCCACCCGGCAGTCGTCTGTGGCCACGACCGCATCATCATCGCAGCCCAGCCCCCAGCCCGTCCCCTTCCCCTCCCCCATGCTGGATCCCGAACACGAGCCCTCGCCCCGGGCCAGACCCACGCCCCTCCCCCTCCCCAGCGCCCCCCCACCCGACACACCCCTGGCTGCCATACATGACGCGCAGGCCATGGCCGCCTACCACTCTGCAAGTCCGCCGCCGTCTTCGCCATCGGTGTATGAGGCTGAGCCCGAGGATCCCGATGTCGAGACGTGTCGAGTGGCGGTGAGAGGCCATAATGGTGGTGGTGGTGGGCCGAGGGCTGTCATGATATAGCAGGGGTGAGTTTGGTTTGGACGGGCGGTGGCTTGCGGGCTTTTTTTCGTGTTTTTTGTTTTTGGTTTCGTGTCTTGGTTTGGATTGGGGTGTGTTTATGGTGTGGTACGGTGGTTGGGTGCTGCGTGTGTGTTATTTAATGTTACGGCGGGCGGTGGTGGTGGTGGTGTGTGTGTGTGTGTGGTGGTCTGCTGTGGCGGAGCGGCGATGTGCCCTTCCCTGATGAATTGCGTACAATGTCCATCCCCCTGCTGCTGAAGCACACGCGACTTACTATTGCTTGCTGGCGGCCAAGTATGTCCCCGCGTACGTACGTTTGTATGTGTGTCTGCCGCCCTGTATTTATCCCTATCCCCATGTCTGTCTGGCTCTGTGTCTTCTCTGCCCATCTGCCGGTTTGTGTGTGTATGTGAATTAAGTAACGGGGAGCGGCAATAATCGAAAGAGGTTCACTTGACGCTCCGGCTGGCTGCTGATGCTGTATAGCCATTATAGCCAATTCCACTCGCACACACACGGACCAATACACACACACACACACACCCCTCTGTTGATAGCTACCTCCCTGCATGAGCGAGTGGATGGATGGATGGATGGGCGACAGCAGCTGACGAGAGAGTGCGTGTGTGTATTTTCAGCGAACCAACGCACCGTGGCACACGCACATACAGGGAGGGAGGGGATCCATATGCGTGTGCGGTTTTTCGTGTGCCCGTCTCGTGGTTGCATCCCATACCATCCATGTGTTTCTCTTTTTTTGACAGATGATGTGTGGTGGTGACATGATTGTCGCATGCGGATCGGATCGTGTCATTGCAATCAATGCGTGTTTTCGTGAATGAATGGATGGATGGATGGATGGGTGGATGGGTGGATGCATTTGAGCGGATTTGCGCCGGGTGCGTGGTTGCGTGTACAGTCCATCACACTCGCTGACCCACTGGCTGCCTGCCTGACTGACTGCCTGACTGACTCCCCTCCCTCCCTCTGTGTGTAGAGACCCCCCCAACCGGATGTGGACACCCCCCTGTGTGAGTGCGTGTGATGCCATCGTATCAACACGGTTAACCGAAGCTTTTCTGTCCATCGAGGCCAGGCCTCGACAGAACATTTCATTCATCGACCCTTACGTAGACAGGAACCTTCCCCTAATTTGCAAGCACATGGGTCACGAACTGCCATGCACAGGCAGCAGAAATGCGCTGTGCATGCACCACAAATACACTCACAGAAGAGGGAAATCTCAGTCAGCGGACAGACAGGCAAACGTCTCGACAGCCACACGGGCAGGGACACACGAGCGGTCGGAGACACCCACACCACACACTGCCAGTGTGGCTGGGCGCCTGCCTCATCCATGGCGTCTGGCGAGCCGCCCAGCCACACTGACAACACCACACCAATGGACGCACACAATACACACAAAAATACACACATACATCCATCCATCCATCAATTCCCAGGGCAAATGCACACAGAGTAGGACATATCGGCTACACCATCAAACCACCCACGAGAAGCACCCATCCACCACCACGTCACGCACTTCTTGTCCCCATGTGCTTGTCCCCATGTGCTCCATCCATTTATCCACACAGGCAAGCAGGTCGAAAAAGCTGCCCAGCCGAACAAACGGCCTCCCCCCACCCTCACACGGAAGCAACTACCCCACAGCCACTCAATGCTCCCAGACACCAGGGAGAGACGGCACGCATACTCACAGACACAAGCCGCTACCGCATACAGAACAAACACACACTCACGCACACACGCGTCCACGCACGCACGAGTAGGAATTGTACGTTCATCCATGGCTCAGCCCGATGGAAATCATCTCCTGCGTTAGGTCGGTCGAGAGAGCTGCCCAAAAAAGCTCGCTCTACCGACAGTCAGACGATACATTAGTTTGTGGCCCCTTCCTTCCACGCTGCGTGCATCCCCAAACACACACATGCATTGCAGCCATTTAATGCAACCAAAAAGTGCGGCCGGGAATAGCTAGAGGCACGGCAAACGGACGGCAACCGAACGCGGGCTACATAGGAAGACGGTAGAATGAATCAAGTCTCGCGTGAGCACACAGCGTCCATCCATCTCTCTCGGCACACAGGCTTTTGTACCCAATCCATGGTCACGCACACACATGACAACACATGCGTGTCCCTATATGCCAGGCAGGCAGGCAGGCGGACAAGCAGGCACGGACAGGTCGAGCGAGCAAGAATCGGCATGCATTGCTCCTTTCCTGAGGGACACCACTTCCTCAGTTTGGTCGAAAAAGCTGATGTCTAGAACAATCGATAGTCGACAAATGCCCTCCCCAGCAGCCACTCGTTCAATGCAACCAAACACCGGAGGAATAAACAGCACGTCAAACGGCACCAAAGTGAACGCCGGGCCAGGCAGACGGGCAATGGAGGGAAACAAACCCGGCCAGCGCAGCCACTCTACTGCATCGCCACGAACGAATCGCATGCTCATACGGACACACGCCGCTACCGCAGCCACACGCAACACTCAACACAAGACCGTGCAAGACCGTCAGCCCCAGGAAAAGGCACATTCGTGGATGCATTCGTGATTCACTCGCTCTCTTTCTCTCTCCCTCTCTCTGCCCGCTGGCCGGGCGACCATCTCTGTCTGCCTGCATCGACTTGCCGCGAAGCGCACGAGCACTCCACCTACGTCGACAACCGACAGCAGCAGAGCCGACAGAGTGACGGACGGCACCGCATTGGCGTAGATCCCGTCGCTGCTGCTCAGGAACACTGTCAAGAGCTGACCACACCACAACACCAAAAGCAAAGAGAAATGGATGCACGATTGTGTGGGTCTTCATTGACTCGCCCACTTGCAGCGTAAGCATGGGCAAGTACCCGACGAGGGACATCAGCTCCAGGGATGCAAACGCAGTGCTCTTCACGGGAATGGAGAAGGCCTTGCCACCCAACTTGCTCCAACATAGGTGAAGGACACCAATCGAGAAGAAGCCGCCGAACAGAATGTAGACGAGCCCTGTGCCGTCGTCGTCCGCCTCCGGTGCCGCTGTCGACAATCCCGTGGCGTGAAGAGTGCCTTTCTGCTCCTTCCGATCCTTCCCCTTTGCCCCCGCCGTCTCGCCCTTGTGCTGTGGTGGTGGCACAGGGAGCACCAGTGCGGGTGCAGACTCGGTCTGCTGGGGCCAAAGGCGCGGCAACGGCATGACGCCTTCTGCTGTTGCTCTAGTGGGCATGTCGGGGATGGACTCGACGCCCTCCTCAGGCAGGTCCCTGTCGCCAGCATGGGGGCCCGCGCCAGGCATGTCATCGAACGGCCAACCAAAGACGGCGTCCGACGAGACGGCACTCAGAGGGAAGGAGGGGCAGTAGGGCAAGGCACTGTGGCCATTGTCGTCCCCCCACTCCGTGTCGATGTGGATCATCACCGATGTGGGCATGTCTTCCGCGACCCATGTGACAGACCGCTTGGGAGGTGGGGGCTGGTGCTGGTAGGTTTGGGCTGCAGATTGGTCGCGGGAGATGGTGGAGGCCTTGGTCGTCTGTCTGCTGGTGGTGCCGCGCGTCGGGTGTCGAGAAAAGGTGCGCGCATAGGACGGGTGGACCGTCACCTACACATACACACACGGATACACACCAGACGCAGTGGGCTTCATGCATTGCTCTCACCCAGGAAATGTTGTATCCGACTACAGTGGCCTCATTGAAGATGACTAGAAGACAGAAGTGCCCCGTGGCCACCCAGAACAGCCAGCCCGAATGATCCGTACGAAACAGAGACACCACCAAGACAACTGCAGCCAACGAAACCAAGACGCAATCCAGAGACAACAAACGTTAAATTCGATCACCAACTGTGCAGGCTGACCGTGGGTAATGGTGCCGAGGGCCGCGAGGGCTGCCGCGACCACTCGCCAGATGACCGTATTCGGAGCCGTCTTCTTCTTGTGGCGAGCATACGAAAACACGAAGAAGAGCAGCAGGACCGCGGCCGCGAGAAACATGAATACGTATGGATTGACCTGCACGGCACGGCGACACGATAAAGGGATGCCCTCAATTCGCTTGCGTGCGCTGAGTGCATGTGTGTGTATGGGTGCGTACAACAATGGGGCAGCTATGGCCATACAGCATCCAGATGGGGGACATTTTCAGCACGAGCAGCGACAGCGATGAGTATCTTGCCCTATAGTGATCCATACTGCATTCGTAGCCCTGGGCTGGACACACACAGAATGAGAAGTCGCCTGCCTTTTCTCATTTCTGCGGTAGAGGGTGTACCGATGAGCGTGGTTGGACACAGCCGCGGCCCCGACACCGCAATGGGCTCAACCTGCAGACGTCGTGATAGGAAGGAAAGAGCTGCATCAGTCAATCGAGCGAAGCATTATGAGCGTACGGACCCACCTGGTCTAGACACCACTGAGTCACATCCTTCCAGAGGAGGCACTTATACTGTGTCGAGGTGAATGCCTCGCACTCCGGCTCTTCGACACACTAAGAGACGAGAACAAAGAGCGGATGAGTGACCATGCGCAAACGGGTTTGTGTAGCTGATCATACCAATTCTTGACAGTACACGGGCGGGTACCACAGCCTGAAAACACAGACAAGAATGAACGTGGATGTGGACGCGAAACGGCGCCTATCAACGTATGTGTTGTTCTCACAGATCCATATTGGCAATCATGATGGATGAGGTGGGGCTCGGCTGCACGCCAGGATGGTCTGATGAAACACCAACAGAAAGCAACGCCATGTGCGCGCGCGGCTAGCTGTAGATTTTGCTCACAGCATCCACAATTGTCCACGCCGACGCGGGACAAATTGTTGGCACGGACGACGTATCGCAACGGCTGAATCAAGAATGGCGGCGGGCCGATGTCACCTCGATGGAATGAGCGCTCCTCCGGTGTCCCGCTCTTGCCCGCAGCTCGCGCGTCAGGCCCGGTAGGCAGCCCCCAATAGAGAGACGGGTCGGCAGGCATCAGGTGCATGCCGTCCTTGGTGAGAGGGGGGAGAGGCGGGGGAGGGAATGTTGCTCTTGGCGCGGGGCCGCAGTCGTGGCCCTGTAATACCCAGACATCCACACGTGTGCCGCGACGCTCTGTCTGTGTCAAGGTGTTCATGTTCCCTCTTCACACGTACCTCTACCCAGCCCTGAACCAATATAGCAATGATAACGAAGCAATATTATGCATTTTGAAATAGTTATAATACCATAATGGCTCCAGCCATGCATATCTTCCGATCCTTTTGGCCGCAGAGTTGGCACACATTCCTGACGACTCGCTCATCTCGGGGCCATCTGTCGAACCAGGTGAAGGCCACACAGCCGGGGACGCCCTTGCAAAAGCTGTGGCACTCGTTCAGGGTGACATTCTCGATGCCTTCCCGATAGTGATGACGAGTGTTAGAGAAAAGGCACGCCATCTGCACAAAGAGATACACACGCACAGACACAGTGGACACATGCCGTGACAGAGGGAATATTGGTTCTTCTTTGGGGCCAATGCTCACGTTGTACTCGTAGCAGGGACTCATATGCGCACCTGCAGCAACGAGGGAGGCAAGACAAACACATACGATACATACACATGTGCTTTGTCGACGGGTGCGTGTATGTCTGTCTGCTGACCGCGGCTGCAGTCCATTGACCATTTGGCGCCGCTGACGTACCAGTTGACGATGCCATGTTCACTTGTCTCCTCTGGCGCAGCACGCCGGCCCGCATCTGAGCTCTTCAGCGAGCACCCGCCTCTCCTCTTGAATGTCCATGCGTTGCAGCGGTCGTACACTTGACAGCCCCTCTGACAATCGCTGGAGCCATAAAAGGACCGAAACGGGGTGATTGATTTGTCACTCGTCGGCCTGTCTGTCTGTGTGCGTACTAAGGTCGCGCCACCATGTGGCCCAGCGCATTGACGTCGAAGCCAACACTGGGCGTTTGACCGATCTCGTCTGCGATGCCGATGGTGCTGATGTGGACAGGTTCGCTGAGGTCGTGGCCCTCGTACTCGATGTCCCTGCACGAAAAAGCTGGATCGAAAAGGACTTAGACGTGCCGTGTGCTGTGTATACCATTCGAAGCAATCCCAAGAGGCGTTCTCGCGGGGAGGGGGGACTGTGACGTTGGTTGCGCCGAAGCAGACGTCTGCAGCCAACGAACCAGCACACAGACCATCCCACACAGCCGGCAGATCTATGTGTGGCAGATGTGCTGTCTGCTTGACTGCGCACTGGATCTCCTCCCGGCTGGCGCGCATTCGACGTCTGAATGGCAGGCACAGCATGCAGATGTGTGATCATTGATAAGTGATTGATTCGCTTCTCTGCCTCACATCGCTCACAGTACCTTCTGGCCAGCCGCCCCAAGCGTCGTGGCATGTCCCATGAATGAAAAGAGATGATGCGGCGAGAAGCAAAGGCAACACAGGGTGATGAATGTCGTGCGCCATCGCTTTGGGCCACTAAGTTGTGTTTCAAGGCAATACGGGCTGTGAAGCAGTGCGTTGAAGTGAAGCCAACGCCATTGAGTGATTGACCCGTGTTCGACTGTACAGACACGAGCCAATCAAGACTGCCACACATGCACGTTCTCTCTCTCTCTCTCTCTCTACATTCACACAGACATACCCACCGGGCATACATGATGTGTGCCTGTCTGATTGATCTATCTATCCCTCCTCCTCCTCCCCATCGGCCTGCGGCTGCCCGTCCACGTCCCTCTCTCCCTCGCCATCGCTATGGCTATCACTCTCGCTTCCGCTGTTGTCGCCCGCGTTGGTGGCCCGATCATCCTCACCGCCACCTGGCTGGGGGACCACCTGAATCACACCCGCCTCAACTAACGCTTCCAGCCGCTGCGCATCGACGCGATTCGGTAGGTAGGTGGCGAGGATTGCGAGGGCCTGAACAAAGACAGCACAGTTTGTGTGTGTGTTTGCGTCGCTTGTCATCACTCCTGCCGTACAGGTTACCCGCACTGCGATGGCCACGTCGTTGTGTGCCTGCAGCTCGACAATCTTGTCCACACCGCCGGCCTGCACGCGAGAGACAAACGGAAAAAGCAGCCATGTGTGTGTCGGGCGTGGTGTGCTGTTGTCTCTTGTCCAATTACCTGCTCCAGTAGTGTGCAGTAGGGGTTGTCGGGGAGGCCCTCGTTGGCCTGCTTCTGACGACCCGCACTGCAAAAATGCCAGAAACAGCAGGCGACCCCTTTGTGTGTTCGTTCATTTGGCTAGTGTTGCTTTACCGTAGTGTCTTGTAGAGCACTAGAAGAGTGGATTGTAGCCCCATGAGGTCCTCAGTGGAGGCCTGGAGCAGGTCACAGAGGGGCTGGATGCCGCCACACTCGACCACATACTCAGTCTGAACAAATGAATAAACACTGCGTGTGGGATGTGTGTCTCACATCGCCAGCTGGTTGGCTGCCACGCACCTGCTGCTGTACTCCTCCGGCTATGTTTCCGACGGTTCTTGCTGCCATCTCCTTGAGCTCCAGTTCGGTCTCTCCGCTGGCCGCCACGTCGACCAGCAGAGGCACCAGATCACCATCGATGACCGCCTGCCGATGCTCAAAGCTACCTGCAGCCATCCAGACCTAACAGCACCCCGCACGAGCTGTGCTGTGCTTGATGGGATCCCTCACCTGCAGAGATGACGTACGCTGTGAGGGATGCGACGCACTTCAGCGATGGCTCGGCCGACTCCAGCAATGCCTTCAGCGAGGCCACCGCGCCACACTCGACCAACACGTCACGGTCAGAATTGGTGCCTGCAGGTCCTGCAGGCAGGCGAGAGAACAATCAGAGGGAAGCCATGCAGCATTTCGTGTTTGCATGTTTGTTTGCTGACCTTGAGCCTCAGCACAAGCGTTGGCACAGAACCCCCAAAGTGTCTGAGGGCCCCTCGTGCAGATCGCCGCACGAGCTCGTTCTGCTCAGGCGCGCTGAGGAGACTGACCAGGACGGGCAGGAAACGGCCACTCTCGCCCAGTGGGACAGGGAGAGGCAGGCCACTCCACAGCTTGCCCAGCAGCTCTCCCCCCATGGCCAGCACCTGGATGCTGCTGCTCTCATTCATCGCCTTCAGCAGCGGCTCCAGGATACCTACGGCCAGCACGGCATCGATACGGTCCATCGAAGTGTCTGCGATGGATTCCAGGGCACAAATCGCCGGCCCACGCACATCGTCGTGGAGTGACGCCACCGCCTGTACCAGGCGCGGGACGGCGCCGGCATCGGCCACGGCCTTGGCGTGGTGAATCGCCAGTAGGTTGAGGGAATACGCTGCTAGTTTCTGCACCTCCTCGCACCCGCCAAGCAGCTCCACCAACACCGGAACCATACCGACGTCGACGGCCCTCTGCCCCATGGCACCCTGCATGTGCTTAATGGACAGCAGCCGCACCAGCCGCCGCAGGGCACGGAGCCGAAGTTGCCGATCACTGGCCGAGGCCATCAGGTTGCGGATGTCAGTCAGGACGCTGGCAATGTCGGCCTCCAGGGCCTCCAGCCCCCGCTGCCTCACCCTCTGGTCGTAGGTCTCTTGCGTGTGGATGGCATCGAACAGCTTGCCCGCCGTGGCCAATGCTGATTGGGGTGAGGGCTGGCCACCTGTGCTGCTCGCCGACTCCATTGCCTGGGTGCTGCTGCGGAGACCAGTACGCACACACGCAGACGGTGAGAATGACCATGCCTGTCCATCTTTCATCCTTCTGACCTGTTGCCGTGCTCAGCGGCTCTCTGTTATGGTGCTGAGGGCTACACTACTCTCCCAACTACTCACCCAGCTCCCGGCGCACACCTGAGAGATCAGATGGATGACAGCACGAAATGAGACAGATATGGGCCGTAAAATGGCTCCCCTAACCATTGTGCATCCAGCAACATTTTGCGAGCTTCATGATCTTTCGTTAAATTTCTTGTGAGTGTATGATGGGGGATGTTGTTGTGTATATAAAATTTGATGTTGTTGTGTCATTTGTACTCATTTATTCATGCATCGTCGGCCGTGTTCATTCGTACACAACCGGGTGGCCTGAAGGTATACATGGGCGGGAGAGAGAGGGCGGGAGAGAGAGGAGCACAGATCTGCCCGCCTGCCTTCAGCACCACTGTCTGCCTGCCTGCCTGCGCTCCTTCAGATGTGGAGTGCGCCCCCGACGGCAATCGCGCGAGTCAGATCACTGCACACTCACACAAGCACATCTGCCACAATGTAGTATCTGCCGACAATGTGGGATGGTCTGTGTGCTGGTTTGTTGGCTGCAGACGTCTGCTTCCAGCCAGGCAGGGCGACGGTCCCGCCTCCGCGAGAGAATGCCAGGTGAGCGGGAGAGAGAGAGATGATCTACATCTCATCTTTCCCTCTCCCTCTGCAGTTGCTACGAGTGGGACTACAATATCCCCGACAACAACATCAGCGAGCCCATCACCGTCAGCGCCATTGGCGTCACTGACAACGTGTTCGAGATCTCGAGCATCGGGGTCGACGTCAATGCACTGGGCCACATGGTGTCCCGACCTTACGACTGCCAGGTGGGTGGGTCGGCACAGAGAGATTCACACACAGACGTGTCTAAGATACGTTTGTGTTCGCGAACTTGGAATGAATGGATGATCGATCAATCGGTGGCTGCATTCATGCGCCCAACGCCAACGGTTGTCAGAGGGGGTGCCAAGTGTACGATCGGTGCAACGCGTGGACATTCACCAGGCCCGGCGGGTGCTTCTTGAAGTCATCGGACGAGGGCAAGGTGTACCAGCCAGAGGAAAAGACCGAGAGCGGTATCGAGAACTGGTATGTGTCGGGCGCCAAGTACTCAATGGACTGCACTCCGCAAGGTATGTTTGCATGACGGACGGGACGCAGCGCACACACGCGCGGTATGGCCCTCTGTGTTGATGTGCGTTTCCATGTTGACTCAGGTGCATTAGTTAGTCCCTGCTACGAGTACAACGTGAGCCTTGGCCCCCAAAGAAGAATCGGACATCCTCTGTGTCAAGGCGTGTGCCCACCGTGCCTGTGTGTGTGTGTGTATCTCTTGATGCAGATGATGTGTCTGTTTCCGAACAGTCGCCACCACTACCAGCAAGGGGTCGAGAATGTCACCGTGGAGGAGTGCCACAATCTATGCCGCGAAATACCTGCCTGCATGGCATTCACACATTTCGACCGGTTTCCCCGCAACGGACGAATCGTGAGGAACGTCTGCAGGATATGCGGGCAGAAGGATCGCAAGATATGCGCCCCAGGGGCAGTCATGTGAGTAGGCGGGCGCCATGGAAGCGTCATGGCTGCCCTCCACTCACATGATCGATCTGTATGTGTGTGTGTGCAGGGGCTGGGTCGAGGTACGGTTGAATGGGGAAAATGGATACTATGACACAGAACGTCATCGTTACGTGTGGGTGTCTGTCTGTCTGTGTGTGTGACACAGGGCCACGACTGTGGTCCAGTCCCCGGCACCACGTGGCCGCCCCCGCCTGTCCCCCCTCTCAATCGCGACGGCCTGCACAACATGCCCGCTGACCCGTCTCGCTATTGGGGGCTGCCCAAAGAGCCCAATGCATGGGCCACAGGCAAGAAAGGGACAGCGGAGGAGCGTTCATTCCAACGGGGAGACATCGGCGCGCCGCCGTTTCTGACCAAGCCCCTCAACTACTCCGTGCGTGCCAACGATGAGGTTCGTGTGGGGATTGCAAACTGCGGATGCTATCAATTCGGCGTACAGCCCGACCCTGAAACGTCCACTATAGTTGCCAACATCGATCTGTGAGCACACACAGAGAGGCAGATGGATAGAGAGATACAAGCTATGCGATGTGTCTTCATTTCTTCCGTCGTGACTGATCAGGCTGACCTATCCCCCGGTCAGCTGCCAGGAACTGGTGAGCTCATCGTCACACGGCCGTCCGTCCAACCATGTACACGACGCTCTCTCCCTGGCTTGGTGTTGTTCAGTGCGTTGAAGAGCCGGAGTGCGAGGCATTCACCTCTACCAGCTACAAGTGCCTCCTCTGGAAGGATGTGACTCAGTGGCGGCTCGATCAGGTGGGTCCATAGGCTGGCAAACTTGTCTCACTTGACCGACGTACGCATTCTCCCATCCTTGGATGCTTGTATGCCTGCAGGTGGAGCCGATTGTGATCTCAGGACCGCGGCTGTGTCCTACAACGCTCATTGGTACACCCGCCCGCCAACGCATCTGTGTGCAGATATATGACGATCGGCGTCGTTTGTGGCTTCGTGTGTGCAGAGCAGGGTTACGCGTGCAGTCTGGACCATTACAGAGCGAAATTCTCGTCGCTGTCGCTGCTCATGCTGCGAATCCCCAAGATATCGATGCCCTATGGCGAGAGCTGCCCCACACAGGCACGCGACGCACGCCCATGCATGCGCCCGTCGAGAAGACCTCTTTGATCCACCCTCTGTGTGCAGATCAACCCTTACGTGTTTGTCTTCATCATGGCGGCGTGTCTGCTGGTGTTCATGGCGTATGGCTACGCCCGTCACACTCGGAGGCGTCATCCCAGCACGGTGGTGTGGCGCGTGGTTATGGCGGCACCGCCGCAGTCGGCACTATCGCACACGGTGAGTCAGCCATGCAGGCAGGCACACGAAGGGCTACAGGGTGGATCGTTATGCGTCTTCCTTTTCTTTCTGCAGTTGCATTTGTGGTCTCCTTGTTCCGTGTTAATTACATTGGGATGCTCTTCTGGGCAGCATGTGGCCATTTCCTTGCTGTAAGTGACGAACAGTAGTACAGGGAGCTGTTCAGATTGATATTGATGGTGCGCGATCAGATGGTGTTGTTCAACGAGGTTATTGTGGTCCTCTACAATGTGTCGTGGGTAAGTGGCTCGGCGGGCGACACAGAGACAAAGACACACGGACACTAGGCAACGGACACCTCCTGTCTGTGTGTGTGTGTGTGTAGGTGACGAGCCACCCATCCTACGCCCAAACCTTCTCCCGCCTCAGGATACGGCGGGGTTTCACGCGAACAGCCTCCAAGCTCTCCGACAGCACCACCATAGCCGCCACGCAGCGTGACCAGCAGCTGAACCAGCCCCCAATGGTCAAGAAGACTGTTAGCTTCGTCGACCATCTCGCCGAGCCGCCAAACACCGACGACACAGAAGGAGGAGACCTCGAGTCCAACAAGGCCGCCAATGACGACATAGCGTCCTTCTGTCCGTCATTCGATTTCAGCGCCCTCTCATCTGACGCCGTCTTCGGGCCGTGGGACACCCAAGTCGGCAAGCACGCCGGCGACCTGGCCCTGCCGGAAGAGGTCACCGAATCAGCCCCGCCTGAGATCGACTCCTCCCCCACCACCGCCAGCAGGAAGCTGACCGAGGTCGCCACCCCGCTCGGCGCGCAAGCGGCAGACGTGCCGCTCGTGGCGGAGTCGTGTCCTCCGACATTCACACATG